ATATATATATATATATAGGTGTTAAAGATTGTGAAGCTATTTTCAATTTCAGATCTCCCAGACTACATTTTTTGTTGTAACTCAAATTAAATATTTTAAAACATGCCAGTGTTTGTTATGTTATTGATTAAAAACAAATAAAAAAGTAGTTATTACCCACCATCAACTCTTGCAAAAGAAAAATGAAAAAACAAAATGAGTTTAATGAAATTAGGGGTCCACTGACATGGATATTCTTGTAGGTAGGATTTTCAGTGGATGCTCTTTGCAAGCAGTGCAAAAGTAAGGAAAGACTCTGGGTGTGATGACATTCATGAAGGTGTAGAGAGGCGTTCTCTCTCCAGGGTCATAAAAGGTCACCTTGCCTCGGTCCATGTCCAAAACTACTCTTATCACTTCTGGATTTTTTGTCATGTTCAGTGGCTCCCACGGTGCTGTGCAGGCCTTATGCTCTCCATTGCGAAACCTAATAGACCAGAATCCCTCTGCTGGTGTCAGCACATGCTTGCCCTTCCTGTTGATGGACTCACTGGCTATTCCCAACACCCAGTAGGTGTTGTCCTTCACCTCCACATCCCAGATGTGACGTCCAGAAGAATAGCCCTCAGCACCCAGCATCTCAGCACTAATGTCGAAACGTTCTGGGTTGTCTGGCAGTTTGAAATTCTGGGTAGAGTTTTGCACAACTGTGAGATCCTCTGAGAGGATGAAGCAGCTAGCTGCTGTGTTGGGATCCAGAATCACAGGATCTTGAGAAAAGAAAAGAGGTATGTGTTACTAATGTGTCAGGAAAACAGCTGATCAATACAACGTGACTAGTTATTGTTTGAGGAACTCACTATATTTAACTATTTTCTTCATCTTCTCCCACACTTTATATTTCAGAGAGCCCAAGTGCTTGGCCACATCAATCAGAGCACCAGAAATCATTTCAGGATCGGGGGAAGTCCGCCAGGTTCTGAAAATATATGTCAGCAGTTAATTGTTGAGACTTGTTGAGCTGTATTATCATAAATTAAGCTTGGGTGCTAAATGTGGCATAAACACTTACTTCCTTACTGTTTCCTTGTAATTCTGAAAACAAATGAAGAGAACCACTTTCACAAAGTGATGCGCATATGAATGTAAGAACATTTCTGGTTAAGATTTGAAGCAACAGTGTTACCTACCTTAAGAAATTGGACATCTTGAGATCTCATCTCCTGTTCCACTATTCTGATGGTGTTGGAGAGAGATATAATTTCATTGCTCATCTCGTCAATCTTTTGGTTAATCATCAGATCCTTCTGATTCTCCTCAGCCTTTAAAGCAGAGAGTCTGGCAGCCTCCTGCTCTTTCAGGAAACAGTGAAGGGCTTCAAATTCCTCTTTGATCTGTGTTTCGGTATGCTCAGCTTGGTTCTGGAAAGAGACATGATTGATGGGTAATCACTGCCTCCACACCTTGGCTCCCTAGTATGTTCAAAGTAAGATGATGTACTGATGGACCTGACAGTACCTTGACATGTTCTGCCATTTCCTCACAGACCATTTTCGCCTTTTTATACAGCTGTAACTTCTCTTTCAAAGGCAGCAGGGCACTCTTCAGTTCCTCCTACAACGTCAATGACAGGACATCAGCACTTAGAAACAGAGTCAGTCTGGCAGGTGGCCAAGCTGTCGCACAATGTGGGGCTGACAGCTGCCACATACTCTTCCATGACAGTATTCCCTGTAAATGCAAGGCGGCACAATACAGCAGCATCAAAGTAAAGGGACAAATCTTTGGAAAAGGGTCTAATGCCCTGGTAACATAAACAAAGTTGAACTCATGCAACTTAGAATCAAAACAGGAACAGAATACAGTAACCAAAAGATTTATTTCACATTAGAACCCAAGGCTTTCTGTTCTCTAGGGGGAGAGGAGGGCAGGCGTAGAATGAATGTGGCGTCACAGAAACCTTGTGGGAGTCTAGTTTCAGTCCTCTCAGGACTCCAACGGCAACAGCAAACCAAAAATATATGTCTATTATTAGAATGTTAATGAACTCTGCCAACACCTTCACACATATCAGCATATCAGGCTTAGAGAGGCACAAAGGTAGTAGGAAAATAAAAGTCAAAATCAGTGAAAAACACAATAAACAACAAAATGTTGACAAGCTGTAAATTAAAATAATGTCCAGGTACAAGGTATCACTTCTGTTCATGAAATGATGTATAGCCTTATTTGTAATCAGTGAAGTCAATCCATTATGATTGTTAAATTAAGTGAATTATCTTCCCATTTGAATTAACCTTATGTACTACTCTATGAAGACATACATCAAATCATCCGAACAAAATTAAGGATATTGCAATAGATGTTTCACTATCATTCGTTCCAGCTGTAATCAACAGTAAAACAGAGGAGAGAAGTTTAATGCAAGAATTCCCAAGCAGCTGATGCTGAAGATAGGCAGTTCAAACTATGAAAATGTGTTACCAATGTGAAACACAAACCCTGTAACTTTAACTTGCCTACCTTACAGTCATGAGCACCTTCCCCAATGGGATATAGCCTGTGCCCAATGTGTGCAGCTGCTTTCCCACACAAACCACAGATTGGCTCCAAATCCTCCAAACAGAACAGTGTGAGCTTTTCTCCATGCTCCTTACAAGCCCCTGGGTCATTCTTGCTTCTGTCCTCCTTGAAGGATTCACAGGACCTCTCCAGCAGAGTGCTCACCACCATTTGATCCATGGAGGAGCGGCGCCAGCACAGAGGACAGTGGTGTGAATCCCCACTGCCTTGTGTCTCCCAGCTGTCTTTTAGACAGGTTTTACAGAATCTGTGTCTGCAAGTGAGCACCACTGGCAGACTGAGAATATGTCCACAAATTGGACAGGAAAGGTCATCCTCAAGATGAGCACGTCTGGTGGCCATTTTTCCTCACAGGGCTTTGATGACCAGGCAGGATCCAAGGCCCCTCCCACGCCTCTGGAAGGCAACCTCATCTTAACCTCAGAAATAAGTGTTAATACCTCAGCTCCCAAAGGCATATCCCGTGTTATGCAGTGTTGGGTTGAGCATGCACATTGCGCGTTCTCGAATAAACACCACACTTGAGAATAAAAGGAACTGGCTTTACATTTAAGAGACTGTATCTCTGCAGATCAGAGCAAATAGTAGCGTGAATAACTCCAGGATGACAGAACAGAGTGTGGGGATGATAGAGTATTTGCACTAAAGATGATCTTTTGATTAGAGTTACGCTATCATCACCTCTTAGTTATTTGAGAAGTCTGTTGAAACAACCTGTCACAGTGTAATGAAAGAGTTTACAGAGAAACAATGCCCAAAATAAGACTCGGGGTGAGGATATAAATAGACAGAAGTAACCGATTTGGACTAAAGTTATGTGGGGAAAGAAATATCCTCCTGCTGACCACTGGAACAGTTTCCACTGTCGAGTTTAGCTCATGTAACAGCTTTTTAAGAATTGACACATGGTTATTTTTAAAATATCATAGAGTCAATTAATTTTCTAGTATAAAACAAGAAACAGTTCATTTGTCATAGTTTTTAAGGGCAAATAGAGGGTATTGGAAGTGAAAGGTATGCACATAGTAGCATGGTCGTCTTGAAGGGTAAGTTGTTAATACCAAAAGTATTTCACAGTAAGCTGACCTTGTTTGAACTGTAATCCAGTATTTTGTTGTGAGAGTTAGTTTACTAGAATCAATGTTGTGCCAAAAATAGGGCAGGAATGTGGGGATAGAGATAGAAGGGGAATACAACCCCGCCATTAGAAACCACTAGGTCGGGGCTGCTTCAGTTCTCGTGTATAATACACTATTGTAGTCTTTACATCTCACACATGCTGTGCTAGGATTCAAAGTCAGCTTTAAACCGTGCAGGTGGAAGATTTTCTTTTGTTTATTGTTAATGGTTACATAAATTAGCAACCTTATTCTGTATGACATTACTTTAGATATTGTTTTGCTAAGTTTTAGAATAATGAAGTGTGAAGTATAATTGTATTTGTATGTTTACGGTCCACTAGAAGCCTTCCAACATATCACAGCAAGGCATAACTATGTCAACATTATAGAAATTACAGTTGAAGCATCCAATAAGAGTAATTTGGTCTTGAATGCATTCTGTGTAGAGTGGTTGACTTATCAAATAAGTGATTTTGTAGAGATGCCAAAGTGAAAATTTGATTTGTGTCCCTGCCAGCGGCAGGGCAGCAGTTCAGAGCCATTGATACACTACGACCATGCCAGATTAGCAGTGGGTCTGCATGTGGTCACTCAACAGATAACAGATATTACTTTTAATATATCTAAGTTATGGTTGATGGCTGATCTGGATTTTATAGAAATTCTTCAAATGTATAAAACCTCTTAAAGCCCACCGGGTTGCCTCGTTGAGTGAGTTCTGAACTGGTTAGATTACACAAATATAAATGTTGAAACATTTGTCAATATGGACATGCTACATATTATTAGATCAGTTAGTTTCTCCACAATTCAATTGTTCAGTTCAATGTACGGAAACTATGAGCAACTATCAAATGATCAAATGAATGATTTGTTATTTGATAACCTAATTTTGTAGTAGTTTGTAGTGTGGTAGTAATATTCATACAGGCTTAAATAAACAACAATAGATTTCAAATGCAGAGCAAGAGTTTTGTGTCCTTCTCCATACAGATGCCGGTTCAAATTATAGGCAGGTTATTCAGTGATTGAAGCAATAAATCCCAGGCTTTAGAGTTAGAGTTCGGGAGTCGAAATTGGTTTAATATGACATTAAATTGGGAAGAATAACGATGATTGCTTTTGCTGTGTTAGTTACATTTTGTGTGGTGGTGTTGTGTGGTTGTGTATGTGTGTGTGTGGGTGTGTGTGTGTTGTGCATGCATGCAGACTTTCTCTTACAGAGGAACGAAATAATTGAGGAGGCTGAGCTCATGCGAAGAGCAGCATGGGAAGGAGCAGGGAGTCCTTGTGAAACTAAAGTTTTTTATAACATGTTTTTCATTGCAAGATTGTACAGGTTTTATAGGTCTAACTTTCAATTACCAACATTTTGATTGTTTTTTAATGGCTTGGAATAATCATTTTCTACTTTAAAGATCATTCTTCATGTTGCAGTATAACCTACACGCTTGACCTACAGATACATTAAGCATGACCCCTGTATCCATATTTGGACTATATTTGACATTTTCTTCACATTTTATCCTCATACTTCTGTGGTGTTACTAAACCTGCAAAGATCTATGTATTGTCACATTTATGCTAAACACATTTTAATTGGAAGAATAGAATTAATTTTTAATCAGCTTACCTTACAGTCAGTGAATGCTTCCTTTATGTGATATACTCTGTGATTCGTATGCAGGCCTGATCTGTGGCACAAAGAGCAGACAGGCTCCAGATCAGCCACACAGAGGAGAATCAGTCTCAGTCCATGTGTTTCACATGATTTATGTGGAAGTCCAAGGCTCTCTTTAAAGCAGAGAGGACACTCTTTAGTGCCATGCTGTAGCCAGAAGTGCTCTAAACAAGAGTTACAAAAGCTGAAATTACAATCGATGCAGCTGAGGACCACTGGAGCCAGGAAGAGTTGATGGCACACAGCGCAGCAGGACTCGTCCACACCCTGACATGAGATGTCAACCTCCATCTGTGAAATTCAATGCAGCACTGATGGGTCCCTACCCTGCAGTCAGCTATATTCCCTCTGTACTGTATGTACGGGATGTATCGCGTGTTTAACAGCATATGGTCCTGCATAAGGGGAGAGCCCAGCTCCTCTAGTTTCACCATAAATAACGTGCACATTAAAGGCAGGTTTTCAGCTCAGTTTGACAGCATGCTAATGAAAATCTGGAAAGGATGCATAAAGAAACTGAAAATGTGGTATTATGGTGGATAGTGATACAGTATATGAGCTATATAATGAGCTAGTTTCATTGGTATCAGTGGAGGTTATCTTAATATTGTATAATTTATATGTCTCTTTGTCCTTATATAGGGAAAGCACAGTCTTCAGTTACTGTAACTAATATTTGTAGCTTCTTATTAAATAAAAACACTAAATCTTAAACACAGTTGCTTTTAATTTACATATATTTATATAATTGTCAGTACAGTTAAAAAAGATTTATGGTCTATTTTAAGGTTTAATAAGTATTTAAAACAGAAAAAAACAATTTTTACTATTCAACAAAAAGAAAAAACACAAGCCATACAACTCTGTATTACAAGCTCATAATCATAATAGAAATATATAGAAAAAGTTAACACAATGCATTTACACAATTTAAAGAAGTAAACTTGATTTATTAGTGGACATTTGGAGCTTGATGTGTAACGAGCCTAATTATAATAATAAATCCAAAATATCGACCAGACCATTTTCCAGTGGCTGCAGGTTATGCAGGATGTAACACAGACATGGGTCATTAGTAGTACTAATGTGTCTGCTGCTTTCTTCTCCTCCCCTCACACACACTTTTAACCAGTATTTGTAATGACATACAATGAGATATATATATATAAATATAAAAAAGTAAATTTTTAATCACATGGTCCACTTTATTGATTTTGACACAGGACTGACAAAAGCATGAATCTTTTTAAGAATAGATGAACAGACACTGTACAAAGAGAAATACATATTTTGTGAAGAATATATAAGGAAGACATTGAATTAAAAGCTGGAGGTGAACATTAAGTTTCTGCTCAACGGCACTAAGAAATGGAGGTGGAACAACATGGGCCTACTAAGAATGTATGCCAGAGTTCAGTCATCCATAGCTTCCAAAGTTTAAAATCTCAGTTGAGCTGGGTCAATACTCTACACGTGAGTTTTCTTTTCTGGCTGACAAGAGATTAAGGCAACCCTGAATGCATGCTCTATTTTATACTGCTCAACAGGATACACCACAAAAATAATGTGGTTCACATGGATATTTAAGTGTGATATTTAACACTGAAATGCATGTCAGATTCACTTGAAACACTGAACATTCCATTTAGCTGGAACAAATCTCAGATGCTGACAGGACATGATGGAAACTCGGGACATGGTCATATTTTCACTATTTCCACAATTTATGATGTATGAGAAATTATGTGCAACCTTCAAATCTTCACAGACAGTTATAACTTGTGTTTGCCTGTGTATAGTCTGACCTTTACTAAATGTTTTTCAGTTTTGTTTCTTATGTTACAGAACATTCTCTTCATTATTAGCAAAGACATTTACAAATGCATCAGTGTTTTTTTTGACAATGTATACCCAGTGCTTCTCTGATAAGACAAAATCATACTTAATACTTTTTTGATTCAATAGCATCTTAATAATCTTTTCCAGTACAACTAAATATATTGTTCTTGGGGTTAATATCCCCCCCACCCTCTTGCTGTCCTCAGGGGCCAGAGGTCACTATGGCACAATGACTTCACATCAGCTTCCTGTCGAAATGATCAGAGGCACGACCAGAGCGTTGGTGTCGGACCTCCAGGTGTTTGCTTTGAACGCGGTCAAAATGCTGGAGCAGCTCATTGTAATCCATCTGAGTGTAAGAGGCACGTTTTGAGGCCACTTGCTGTTTAGAGTCCATATACTTGGATTCATCCACAGTCCTCATGAGCTCTGGGTTGGGGACACACCGCAAGCGGTGGGAGAGCAGCTGGAAGGCCTGGCTCTGTGGCAGCAGCATCAGCAGGCCATACAGTGCCTTTATCAGGTAGGGGTTGTTCTCCACATCTAGGAGCTGCAGGCGCAGGTAGGTGAAAATGGGGCTTTCAATGAGCTGTACCAGCTTGTCGACCTCTATCAGGAAGTCTACTGTCACCTCCAGGTCTCCAAACTTCTGGATGAGATCGTAGGCGTGTTTGTAGTTCTGCGTGAGGAAACAGAGCGACACAGTGGCCACAGGGTTGTGACACCAGGAACGATACAGGCAGCAAAACAAAGCACAGCTCTCCTGAGTGCGCAGGTCTTTCAGCTGGTTGCGTAACTGGAAGAGCTCAGCCGAGGTGAGCAGGATGGTGTTGAGTGTCTGAACCATGGTGGATGCAAATTTGAGGTCCTCCTCCTTCAGCAAGATGTCAGCCATGGAGTGGAAGATGTTCTCTGCGTGTAGCAGCAGACAGAGCTGCCGGATGATGAAAGCTCCTCTGTTCTCCAGAAGCTTCCTCTCCAGACTGAAGCGTTTCAGCAGGTTGATCATGAACTTGTAAAAATAGGAGTTCATACTGGGAGTGGAGGGGGAGGAGTCCACTGCTTTGGAGCCTATGCTGGGTTGCTGTCCAGATTTGGCGCTCTCCGGGACCTTGAGCTCCAGTTTGTTTTCAGCACCATCGCAGGAGCTGACTTGGTCCGTTTGGCCGGCAGGAGATGATGCTATTTCAGCTAACACCTCCAGATCTTTCAGTATCACCTCATCAGATTCATCAGACAGTGTTTTCAGCAGCATGGGAAACAGGCTGTCTGTGTGGCGGAACATTTTGCGTGGTGTCTTGATGTAGAGGTGGTAGAGCCATTTGAGCACAGCAATGCGTGTCATCATGCCAGTGGAGGAGTCGTGGAGGTGCCGGTCCAACACCTGAACGATACCATCCAGGTCCAGAGTTACCTGGGGCCTGTCAGCACTTGCTGGAGTGAAGAAGCTGATGTTACTGAAACCAACAGATTCTTGTGAGGCATTCAGCATATCATTGCTGTCCACCTCCGTCTTAGGCTGGCCGTCCTCCCTAGATGGCGACCCCGTACTCCCGCTTTTCGCCTCATCCTCGTCCTCATCATCCTCAGGAGTGACCAGCTTCATCAGACTGTGATTACAGGCACTGGCTGCTTCTTTGGTATTCTTCTTTCGGTCATCATAGGAAAGGCAGGGCAGCACTGCAGTTAGGATGCCAGAGGAGTAGGGGAGCACCACTCTGCCTGCAAGCTGGATAAACTCTCTCATCCAGGTCATAGCCGTCAGCTGGATCAGGTCGTTTGTGAGTTTTGTTTCGTCCGCCACCTGGCAGTGGATGACGAGGATGTTGGCCATATCAGCAAATTTCACACTGGAGGGCATCTTCTTAATCTCCTTCAGAAACTCTCCCAGTACCACCTCACACGTCCTACGGATCTCCTTGCTGTTGTCTCCCAGGATCTGGAAGAGCCCGTCCAGGATTTCAGGGAGGTAGTCTAACAGGTTGATGTCTGGCACAGACTCCAGAACATGGATCCAGGAAATTATGAACTGCCGAGCGTATTGATTATTGGAGTAGATTCTCTCTCTGAGCAGGGGGACAAACGCCACTAAGTCAAACTTGTTACTTTCCGTCACAATGTCTTTTAGCAGTCTGTCCAGGAGTTCAGACCCACTTTTCACATTGGGGTCTGGATCTGCTGCAAGCTTGCTGAGACCATCAAACAGCAGGTTGAAGTGGGGCAGCACTGCTCCCCTGGCCACCTTGACTATATTATACAGGGCCTCACAGGCATAGTAGCGCAACCGGCTATCTGAGTCATTAAAACACGTGAGTACAGGCTCAATGAGCTCCTTCAGATACAGACCCGAGTCCTTGCCGAGGGCGATAGAGCAAGCCGCCAGTCCAATGAGACCCCCCTTTCGGCTGTGGGGGTGCTGGGAAAGCGCAAACTCCGAGGCCAGGATCTGGATAACATGCCTGATCTGAGTGGAGTTGTTCTGAGCCACAAACTCTCGCACCAGTTTCTCGATTTCTAGAGCTGCGACTTTCCTCTTCTCGTACAGTTTATCATTCAGAGCCCGGACGATGTTGGGCGTCAGCGGCGAAAAGTCCTTCTCGGTGTTCATGTTCGCAGCCGCGATTGAACCGGATCCCGTCTACTGAAATATCTACGTCGATACGCGAGAAATCCGTCTGCATTTACGATCATTTATTGGAGAAAACACATCGGTTTCACTCGCGAAACCAGGAAGTCTTGTAATACAACGCAGCTGACCGGTTACATCCGCCGGAAACACGTCACCGTTGCTACATTTATTTGGTTCCCGCTAAGTACAGTTCGCTCAAATAAGCTTCATTAGCTCCACAGCTGATGTATGTTTTCATTTCCCAACTGTCTGACTAACAGGTTCGCTCCTTTAACTGTATTAATCCTTTTTTTGCCTTCAGCCGGTGAGGACGGTCGTTACAGTCCACATTAGCGATGGCGAGCCGCCTCCCTTTTCACTCACAGCTCTCCTCCATCATGGAGACGATGGCCAAGTCTGTCCTGAGTCAGGTCTGCAAACTGGTGGACGAAGACTCGAGTGAGCTCCGGTCGGAGGTGTCTCGGCTGCTGGTTGTTAACTCAGCCCTGGCAGAGAAAGTGAGCAGCCTGCAGTGCGAGCTGACGGTTGTGAGAAGCGACGCCTCCGAGTTGTGTAAAAGTTATCGCAGCGTAGGTGTACAAACTGTCTGCTTCAGAGACGGGGACGCTTATGGTACTTGTGTTTCCCAGTAACAGTAGCTCAGAGGATTTTGAACAGAATGTGCCAGCATTGCTTCTGTGTTTACTGGTTTGTTTTCCCTTTTTACTTTTACTGTTCGACTTTTCCTCAGAGTCTGGACCTCCCACCATAGAGGGGATCTTTGGAAAAGAATGGTGTATGAATCTGTGGAAAGACAGAGACCCATACAGCCTGGAGAGAGTCACAGACTCGCCACAGTCCTCTGAGAAAGTAAGAGGAAGGTTTGCAGAGGTATTAAATGTGTATGGCAATAAACAAAGGCAAGAAAAGCAGGTAATATGCAGGTTACATCAAAAATATTATACATGTTCTTAATAGTGCAATTAAAAACTCTGCTTATGCACATTGAAACGCAACAGTAATTGAGGAGAGTATAGATGCATCACAACCATGTTATTGAGGTTATAAATGTGCATGAACATGTTTTCACAAGGAAATACTGGTGGCAAAAAATACACTTGGGAATAATAATAATAGTATATTGTTGTGCATGTGAACACAATACACATCACATCAACAATATTTTTATTATACTTTTAAGTAATCAATAAATCAGAAAAGTTAAGTAATCTTAAAAATATATTGGTTTATTAAATAGTTATAAAAATGCCAATTGCATTTCCCAGAGCCTAACATGTCATTTTCACATTGTTTGTCCAACCACCAGTCCAAAACCTAAATATATTTAATTTACAGTGCTATAATTAGAGGAGAAGTAAATCACCACGCTTGAGAAGCTGAAACCAGAGGTTTTACATTTTCCCTTTATTAGTGACTTAAACAATTTTCAAAACGGCTGCAGATTAATTTTCTGCAGTTTGATTACCTGACGAAGCATTTCAGCACTAGTCTGGTAAAGCATTGCTGTCACAGAAAATGTTGCTGTGTTGAACTACAGTTTAATATTTGGACTTTTTCTATTTTGCAGTCCGTAGCGACGCTGTCTGACCAAATTACTGCGACTGAGATCAAAGAGGAGGATTGTGTGGGGGATGCTGTCTCCAGCTGCCGACAGGAAACACTTAGTATAGAAGGTAAGAGGGTGAAGGAGCGTTGGCGTGAGGGAATACACACTGCAGATTTAGCAGCTTTAGATGCTTATTGAGCTTTTCGTTTTGTATTTTTATGCAACAGAACATGAAGAAAGCAGTGCAGAGGAACCAGAGACACTGTCAGTTGGTTACTCGGCTGATGGCAGCACTTGCAGCCTGTCATTTGATCAGGATGGAGAACAGGTTGTGTCTGCAGGTGGTATTGAAGAACCACCCATGCAGCTGATATCCGTCAATGACACAGAGGAGGCCTTCAGCACTCATATAATTCCAATTGAAGAGGAGGAGGAGGAGGAGGAGGAGGATGATGATGATGATGATGTACAGTTTATTCAAGAAAGTCTGCAGGAGCCAATGATGAACACAGCAGGGGGGCCCAGCCACAACACCCAGCAGACATCTGAAAACAGCACTGCTGCTGATAAAGATTCCCATGATGACTGTGATATGCTTAATGTAGAAACCAGCAGAGATCCAAATAAAAACAAATTCACTTGTCGAATATGTAGCAGGACATTCTTCCACAAGGGCACTCTAACACACCACATGAAATCGCACAAGTCAAACTTTTGCAATATTTGTAAGCAGCATTTTCCTCACAGGAACAAGTTGAACTTGCACACCTGCGTGCCTCCAGTTCCTTCTCAGAGAGTCAGTAAGTCATGTGAGCTGTGCGGGAAGACCTTTGCAAACCCATCGGCTCTGAGGATTCACTACGTCGTCCACACAGGAGAGAAACCCTACAGGTGCAGCTTATGTGGGAAAGGATTCACCCAGAAAGGCAATCTGAAATGTCACCTACGTATCCACACTGGAGAGAGGCCGTTCTGCTGTGTTAGATGTGGGAAGACTTTCACGCAAAAGGTCAACCTCAATCATCATTTAATGGCTCACAGAAATCGTGAGGTGGTGGGAGCGAAGTCCATAGCAGTGAGACATCTTAAAAACGTTATGGCTGAAACCAGTTTGTGACTGATTGTGGTACAAGGTCAGTAGCAATGTTCACTGAATGCATTATATACTTCGTATCACTTTAGTGGAAAAGGGCAGTAAATGTCATGTTTGCAATGACTTGTAGTCTGTAGTATTGTTAAAAAATCAGGAGTGTGCGCAAAATGTCCTGTTTTTGTCATTTGTTTTTATTTAAGAAACACAGTCATGAATGTTCACTTGTTGATTAAAATTTTATTTGATAAAACTCTCCTTTTAAAGAATTAATTCCTTTGTCTAATCAAAACTCAAGTTGCCTTGAAATTGAATAATCCGTTTTATCAGGGGAGACTTTACATATTCAATGTTGACAATGCACATCTGATGGGGCTTTGCAAGGGGCATGCAGGTGTGAGTGAAAAGGGGTGGGGGGAGATCAACAGCACAATTTCATTTTTGGGAAGGGATAATGCACTCAGTTGGGTCAGTGTGGTCTGTTGAGGGGGATCATTATTACAGGCAAAATAGGTGCCTAGTACAGATCATTTCTCTGTTTAAGCATGATGACAGTTAGGTACAGAATAAAAATATTATTTCTTTAACAGAAATGGTTAATATTTAGTAAAAATAAAAAAAAAAACACTAGTTTGGCTTGACTACACACTGACAACACAATCTGTCTTCTAAAACCAAATACATATTTGAACAGTAACAACATTTAGACCTGAACAATTTCTCACTCTTAACTTTTATGTGACCCACACACATCATCATCTCTTTTTGACAGTTTTAAAGACATTGACCTACTCACTTTCTGTCACGTTAAATGCCAAGAAATGAGGCATGGCATAAGGAAAATATAGAGCAGCGGTGAGACTTGGGAAATGAAGCAAACAGAGTGAGTTGTTTTACTTCTACATTGTTGAGAAGAGGTAGTTTTGAAGGTTTATGCTACATGTGCGCAAACAATGTAAAGTCATTATTTTGGCACAAGCCTTTTGTGGTCTGAAATAATACTGAGGTATGTATAACATGTTACACCAATCATGACAACATGCAATGAATGAAGTGGAAGTATTATTCTGTCATAGCTTGGATGAGAACTCACATTAAATAGACTTAAATGAAATGTGTCTTCTAATTTATGACACTTCCATTCAATCATGATGGGAAATGCACTTTAAAGGCTTGCTGAGGGCATCAAACCTTTGCCAATGAACCCCCTAAACCAAAAACATGAACCAAATCCCACCCTTTCAAATGGTACATTCTCTGTACCTTTGTCTGACTGCTGCAGCATTTCTGTCTGCATTAAAGCTAAAAACACCCAACAAACTAAGATCTTACAGCAGCACTGTTAACCATATGAACTATAACTAGAGTATTTTTCATCCACATTTGAGTTTTGTGTAGACATTTTGGCACAAGTTGAGCCACTTTGAGTAATACATAGAGCACTTTAGAAGTAGCTGTTCAGAGTTAGACTTCTTACCAGTGACCACCGTGTGGTTTGATCAGTCAGTTGAAACACTGGTGGTGATTTAAACCATACTTGTATGCATAACATTTCCCACAATCCACACAGCTATAAGGCTTTTCACCAGTATGTGTTCGAAGGTGTATGTTCAGAGAGCTTTTCTGGGAAAAACTTTTGCCACAGTCTGGACAGCTGTAAGGCTTCTCCCCGGAGTGCACGCGCTGGTGCAGTTTCAGGTATGTTTTCTGTGCGAAGCGCTTCCCGCAAACTGAGCAGCTGAAAGGCTTCTCACCAGAGTGTCGCCTGATGTGGACTTTTAAACTGCTCAAATAGTTGAATATTTTCCCACAGAATAAGCACTCAAAGCGTTTTGTTGGCTTCATAGGTTTTGGCTGATTGGGGAGTTCTTTGGTTGCATTCATGTGGATATTGTTCGTATAGTCAGAGTATTCAGCGGTGACTGAAGGAGGATTTGTGTTGTCAACCAGAGTGCTCATTGTTGCATCATCTATTAACTTGTCCATAATTGTTGTCTGTGTGCGGAGTTGTGTTTGACTGTCAGCCGTCATGGGGAAGCTGTTTAATTCCCCTGAGTGAAGCTGCAGCTCATCAACAGATCTATGAAGCATGCTGTCCTCCTCAAAAATTCCAACAACTGTCAAATGAAAATAAATGCAGTTAAATCACTGAAACTTTCCGGGGTTAAAATCATCTGGTTTTTTTTTTTTTTTTAATCCAAACTTACTTTTTCTGTTATCTGTGAGCATCATCTGTTGACCAATGGGATGATCATCATATATCTCCTCCTTGACAAAGATGAGATCAGGTTCTCTCTCCAATAAGTCCATTGCCTGTGACACAACGATCATTCAGTCGTTTCAGCTCACTAAAGAAATGACTGCATTCGAAAAAAATACAACCAGTTGGTAAATGATTCACTGACCTGTGCCCCCATGCTTGTCATAGCAGCAGGCTCCACTGTGTCTTTTCTTTGAGGTGGGAGTTTGTCTTCCCTCCACAGATCCATGCACCAGTCCTTTCCAAAAACTCCATCGATGGCTGGAGCCGGCTGCTGCTGTTCTGGAGGAAGAAGCCGATATGAAATTGTGATCATCATAAGATAAATATCCAACAATATCAAATACAGCTTACAACAGCATTAACATGAATGTTTTTTTTCTTAAAGACTGAATATGAAGAACCAACAATGCAGACATGAATCTCCTGCTAAAACTATATAACACTGAATAATAACCTTTTAACTAATTAGTCTTTTGTCTCTTTTTGGGGCTTTTTTTTTAAATTTATTGTCAATTTAAGCTTCCTGGCTGCAGTACTTGCGCTCATCATTATTTATATTAATCTCATGCTTACGTTGCTATTGTTATTCACCATGGCAAATGAGTAGTATGTGAAAACTGATTCTGAACGTCTACGTTATGGCAGCCTAGAAAGCGACAGTCTGTGCTCATTCGTGAGCGTCCTGACCTGCAGGGTGTCTGCGGTTGACGTTGTTGAGATGTGTAGGATATGTCTGTGCCTCTCTCGCTGCTCTCAGCTGGACCTCCAGCGAGTAGCACCTCTTCTTGAGCGCCTCGTTCTCCGTCTTGTGCAGGGATATCTCGGTGTGAAGGACGGAGGAGCATTCATCAGCCAGGTTGCCAATTTCCACCAACGCCGACTTCGTCAGCTTGTCCAGGATGGCGGCCAGCTGCGTCCGAAAACTTCGGTTTGTGGTGTCGCACATCATCTCGACAGGGAGGCTGAATATTGCGTATTTTTTGGCAAGATTCCCAGCGTAGCGACGTTGCTCTTTAATCTAATATGCAGTATAGCTGTGCCGCACTGGATTGTGGGTAAACTGTGTCTTCTTCTTCTGGACTTCCGGCAGACTGGATGCCTTGCAGCGCTTTGCAGTTCGGAGTGTGTGTCTGTTGTGAGCCTCTGACTGGTTCCCAGTGGGGTTAAGCAGGCTCTTTATTATGTGTGTCTGTCTGTCTGTCTGTGTGTCCAGGCGTGATAATACATCTTAGCCCGGTTCTTTGTTCCATGTAATGGTTGCACAGTTTGTTGTTTTCTGCAGGTGTCACAGAGTTCATTCTTCTTCTTATTTGCCTGGTCCTTCATGCATCTCTTTCTCTCTAATGCACTTTCGTTATATTTTATACGGAGGAGGCATTAAGTCCCTACTTTTCATTTTCCCACTATTTCCTGCTTTTTCCCACTGTTGTGTTTTTCTTGGTAACATAACATAAGATACGATGTTCCTTATTGAAAAATACAATTCAAATTAGAAAGCAAATTAGCAAAAGTACAATAAAGAATCACAAAATAAGAATATTATAAAATATAATAAAAAATACAAGACTATATTGAAAACTATATACGCTGTATGCAATATGCAGTAAAATGGTGTGCAAAATATTTTGAGCAGCGTATGACTTAAAACTAAACTGTACATGTGCAATTTAAAGATAAATAGTTTGTGCGGTAGGTTGAAGTTACACCAGTCTTAGTCAGTGGGGGTTGGAGGTACTGGGTGCTGTGGCATATTTACACTCAGATGTCCTAGATAGATAGATACTTTATTTATCCCGAGGGAAATTCAAGATCCTAATTTGTAGGCAGCTCTTATTTCTGTCTCTCTTCAGTGGCTGCCTCCTTCCATTCCATTCCACCCCAACCAACATGGGCTGGCACCCCAAGAAAGTCCACTGAGTCTCCAGTCTGCTCAAGCCTATATAACAGAGCCAACAGCTCCACCACATGGTCTGACCGGGCCCCTAACTTGCTTTCCCTAAATCAGTCACTGTCAATTCCTGTGCCGTCAGAATAAGGATCCCCAACCCTAACCTGCCTTGTCCTGTTCTTCAAATTGTCCTGTTCTTCAAGTTGCCAATTCACTGGATGCTAAAGCTAAATGTATACATGAAACTGCACCTGTTCTAATGTCAAACATAGCTGGTATACCATTGTTTAAACATACAAACCCATCTAAACATACACAGTGTTCCCATTATTTTATTTCCTTCTGCTGCCCTTAAGGGGGTCGTGAGCAGTGAAGTCCCCTATTCAAATGACTGGTGTCCCTTTTTTGTTCCATAACCTTCTCCAAATTCCAGGTTTACAAGCAGGGATTATAGAAATTCAGTGTTAACATAGCTGTGCTTCTGCCATACTGTAACCACCACACACTCTAGCAGAGACTTAAGTTTCACCCTCTGTTGCTGCACAAGATCTTATAAATGTCACACAGCCTCCTCCTGCCTGAGTACCATAACTGTCTGAGAAAATATCACAGTTTCACAGTATAACACTATTATTATTAGTTACACAATGGAATAAAAACAGACAGATGGTTGGTTGGTATTATATTTTTTATATATAACATATTTTTAATATATATGTATACAGTACGGTAGAATTCAAAACGGTAGATGAGCCCATGTAAATGGTATGATAACCGTCAATCTTCATACCATAGTATACCATGATATCAGCTTAATAATCATCTTTATTTCCATGTTTCCCTCTTTAGTGGAATCCACACTTATTATCAATCAGCGATATAACTGTGCCACTATTTCAACCCACAAGCAGCTCCTTTTAAATTCTCTCATTACACTCATTTTGAGCTTGACCAGGTCCTGCTGTTGAGCTGATGACAAACTTCCATGGCAAGAAAACAAGGATATTTACATCATTTCCACATCCAGTGCACTTCCTATTTTAACCCTTGACTCCCCTTGTACCTGAAGTATTGTTACGTATGTGTGTTTTGCCTCTGCTGTCCTGTGTCCTTCCAGGTGCCGCCCTCCCCTCCGACTGCTCAGGCACACGGTAGTTTGAACAATCCTGCCGACTGCTTTAAAGCTACCTGGACGGAAGCAGACGAGGCCAGTGGGCAGATGGTGTTGTGGTGCTGTCGGTCGTAAAGCAGGGCTGCGTGGTGCTCGTCATGTTATTACCATTAGTCCCTCAGTGGTTTGTTTAGTTTAAATGGTTTTCACTTCCTTTCTTTTTAGGAAGTTGTTTTGTGTTGATATTGACTCATTTACGTTTAAATAAATAGTTTAATAGTACAAATCTTTCTGTTTCCCGGTTAATTATGAATTGTTGCGCCTCTATTCCCCTTGGACCTACATACTGAGGCCGTAACAAGTATCAACAGGGGTATTTATAGTAATGTCTACTAATCTGATTTGTGTAATATTATATATTGCGTTGGTACAGCCAGTAGCTGTCATTGCAGGACAGCTACTAAATGGACATACAGAGTCCAGAATATTAAAAACACCGGTGTCTCGTTTGAGGTTGTTCTATCTTGAAGGGTTATAGGGAAGAACTACTAAATTTGTTGGTAACACACAGGTTATATCAGCATAACTGTTATTAATATCAGTTACTTAATATGATGGTTGTTAACATAATTACATCAGCACTGATAATAATTGTATTATACAGTTTTTTAAATGTCTATTTAAATAGTTTTGTCCACTCTTCCTGTTAGACATCATTAAGAATCATGTGTTCACTGCACTCCAGTGGTCACAGTGAGGAAATACAACACAATTGATTTCAGATTAGAATTTATTGATATCAGCATGTGCAAATTATTCTTATTAGTTACCTGCTAGAGATGTTTTTGTTAGTTCAGAAAAGATTTAATATATTTATTCTAATTCAAATGTTAAAGTATTAGCCAGAAGTCATCATGTTCAAAGTAGTTAATTACCATATTATGTTACAATAACATGATCTTAGTCAGTGTTGCTGTACCAGTCCAGGTCTTGTAAAGTCAGTCTAAACGAGTTCTAAACATTGATATTAAAAGCTACTCCACTGGAGCAGTGCCATGCTAAATTGCACTTTTGTTATTTTGGTATATTATAGCCTCTAGATTACTGCAACTTTGGCAGCTTTTTATTTGTTTAGTATTGACAACTATCAATAAAACAGGAGTGATATATTCATTAGCTCATTCAGCTCACCAAAAAGTGTTGTTTTTATACTGTAACCTATTTATTAAACTGTAGCACAACATCAACTTTGGACCATTTGGAAAAAATGAAAAGTTAGTTGTAGATAACACATGATACATATTTTCATCACATTTGATAAGTGATAGCAGGTGACACGCGCTCAAATGTGGAGCAAAGATAACTTTATTATGCTCAAAATATTTCAATAAAACAGCAGGAAAATTACATTTGACTGGCTGTTTTAAGTGGTTCCATTAACGAATGTCCCACTAAATGTCGGAGCATTAGATTCACTACCATACATGTTCAAACTAGGATCCAGATGTACTGCGAGGTGTTTTTTCAGATTACAGTTCTTTGTAAAACCTTTGCCACATTTGATACAAACAAAAGGTTTTTCTCCGGTGTGTGTGCGCTGATGCATATCGAGAGTGCATTTCTGAATAAAACCCTTTCCACAAATAGGACAGCGGTATGGCTTCTCCCCAGTGTGTGTGCGCTGGTGTGTATATAGGTGCCCTTTTTGTGCGTATCTCTTCCCACAAAGTGTGCACCTGAACGGCTTCTCTCCGGTGTGACTTCTCTGGTGTATTTCAAGCTGGCTAAAGCATCTGAAGCTCTTGCCGCACTGCAAGCAGCCGAACCTCTTTGCAGCCGAGGTCCTCAAGTTGTGAAGCTTCATATTCCTGAGCACGCTAGAGCTTTGGGAGGCAACATTTTGAGCCAAACTTTTCCCAGCCTCTAGGTTTGTGTGTGCAGGTGCAAGCTGTGGATTCCACTGCGCTTCCCTCCTTACTGGTCCAGTGAGAGACGACTGGGCGCTCAGGATCACAAAGCTGTCGGGAAACAGAGGCTGCTGATGTTCTGTGATGGGTTTGGGATGCTGCATCACTTCTGGACTCTTCTGGGTGTCCGTGACGGCCTCCCTTCCTGTTGACAGCAGGTAAGCATGTTAAAATATGTCAATAATAGACTGTTGAAAGGTTGTTAACAGCAGCCTTTTTGATTTGAAGTGGTAGGGTAAAAAAAATAAGGTGTGGTAAATAAGGCGATACTAATTAAGGCTGTTCCATTCAGGTCACAGAGTGTCAGGGTGCTGTTATTGTGCATGTTGGCACACTGGAAAGCCTCTGCTACACTAAATGGAATGAAACCTTAATTAGTATAATTGGTAATACTCCTGTTTACCCTTCTAGTTCATGACAAAATGGCTGCTGTCAAAAAGGTCTATAGTCTGACAAAATAACCGTAACCTGAAGTCTACCGATTACTCAAGGTACATTTTCTGATGCCAAAAGGTATTATCCTGAGTCAGAATGTGTATATACATTTTAAACATTGGTGTGCAACCAAACTTCATACTCACTGTTTTTACTTGTCCTATCTTGTTCAGTGTCTCCATTGTCCAACTCTGTCGGCTCTTCCTTTACCACAATCAATTCAGGCTGCTCTTTCGATGGATTTTGGAGCTAAGGAGAAAACAGCATATGAATTGCACTTTATAAATAAACAACACAGTACGGTAGTGCCATTATGATTATTGCAGGACTCACTTCATCTGCGGCATGTTCTCCACCTTGAGGCACACTGCTCCTCTCAGGGGAGGAAGTTATGCTTTCCCATGGGCTCTCACTAGGATGCAATAAACTCAGATTAAATACACCAGGCAGGGTGTAGCTGACAGCAAAGGTCATGATGGAAACGTATTCATGGTGTCAGCACAACAGAGACACACTATCTGGCTACAGGCTACACACAGGAATCAACAAGCCTACCTTTTTATGGCAGGTCTTGTCCTGTCATGGTCCAATACTCTGTCCTCTGAACAGTCCCTCACCACTGAGCATGCTGCGGCTGCTGCGTCCTGCCTGCCCCCCTGTGCAATATAAAGCAAGTTCTCCATCAGCTGCAGTTTCTCTGTGAGCGAGGCGATTTCGTTCCGCCCTCGGGTTATCTCTATTTTCAGCATCTTCGACTCGATCTCCACCAGTTTGCTTATTTCCATTACTGCTGTTTTGGATAACGCGTCCATGATGGAAACGAGCTGCGTCTGGAAACAGAAGCCTGTCGACATGGTTTATAAAAGGTTGCTGCTGCTCCGAGAGACGCACACGGACGAGTTGTTGCAGCGGAGACGGCTTAATGTTCAATGTGAAAATGAAGTTACAACGTTTAACACGAGAAGAGCCGTGTCCATGCCCACAACATACGCGTGAGAGTGTCTCTTTCCAAACTCAAGTGGTTGTATTGGATGCGGTGTTGCCATCTACAGCCCGGGAAGAAGTATCGCAACGTACACACAAAGCTGCAAAAACAAATGGAGCTGTAACGTCGACACAACCTCGTCCATTAATTTCACCGTCTATCGATGTTGTGTCGATTTTGTTGTTTTAAAAACTGCATGTCCATACGCTGACTTTTTGTGTCGTTTTAGTTAGTTAGCCGGAGACTCCATTGACCAGAATTCCTTGCGGGCTAAAAACACCGAATGTGATTGGCTGCTGAGAACTCGTATCAGGAAGTAGTGGGTCGAATTACATTTGCCGACTGAAAATCCTCCTCATGACAATCTGCTCCAGAGATTCTCAGTGGGTAAAGAAACGTGTTTTTTCCCCCCCGCAAAAAACTGTTCGGTTAGAGCTCAAATGTTTGTTTAACATGTCGAGATCTGAGCTTCTCTTCTCCGGCATATTTCTGATACTCGCTAATTCAGTGTAATGCAGGAATAGCTGGGGTTTGTAGCTTTACTCTTCAGACCTCTCTAAACCAGCCTCATTATATTACAGCAGTGAGCTAACTGTAGTCAGAATATTTTAAAAGTAGGGCTTTAATATACCAACACAAACCATTTATGGGTAGAAGATATACAGATGCATCACGATGACTTGCAAAACGGTGTTGTAATTGACTTCCTTATATAGTATTGCTCAAAACCTGTTTGTTTTTTTCCCCTTTTCTCTTCTACCCAGTAACTCCTGAACTCACACAGGTCTGTCATGGCTGGCAGAAGAGTGGTGGTCTTCCCCTCCTCAGCAGAGCTTGGTCCGGTGCTGGCCCAGCTGGTGACATCTCGGGCTGAGAAGGCCATCGTCTCTCATGGCAGGTTCACCCTGGGGCTCTCTGGAGGAAGCCTTGTGTCCATGCTCAGCAAAGAGCTGCTCGCCCTGCCAGACCTGGACTGCAGCAAGTGGGTGGCTGGTTTCTGTGACGAGCGATTGGTGTCCTTTGATGATCCCGAGAGCACCTATGGGCTGTACAAGGTATGTGTTCAGGAGTGTGTTTGTTTGCACATATATTAATGTATGGTATTCTGTTACATTGGGGGTCAAACAATCCCTTTTGTTTCTTTTCTAGAGTCATTTCTTTTCCAAGGTCAACATCCCTGACAGTGGGATCTTAACCATCGACTCCTCTCTGCCTGTGAACGAGTGTGCTGAGGACTATACTCGCAAACTGAAGGAGGTGCAACACTTGTTACTGTTCTGTGATACGTTCTGGTTGTAAAGTCACACAGCCTTGTTCTTTTGGATTTTAATATTTTGTAGAATATTAACATAAGATTGTCTTGCTAATTTCAAACACACAGGCCTTCCCAGGGGAGGATTTCCCTGTGTTTGACCTGTTACTGCTGGGTATGGGGCCTGATGGACACACCTGTTCCCTCTTCCCAGACCACCCTCTTCTGGAGGTGAGGGCTGTCTGGATTTTTCCAGACTTAAAGGGAGAATTTGAAATTGTTTGCCTGTATGTGTATTCAACTCTTCGGAAAATTGCTCTCGAAAGCATCATTTCATGTCTTGATGTTGAACCATGTTCTGCAAATGTTTTTGTAAATATGACCTTTCACTCATAGAAATATGGATCTTTTCCTGTAGTAGGCATATGAAACGCATTTTATTTTGGGAGGCCTACTAATTGAGATCTGGAGGCATGTTGGGGTCTTTGATGTAGTTCCTGATTTGCTAGTCCAAACAAACTGTATTTTCTCTGTACTTTTCAAGACACTCCCATGAGTATGTATGGATTTATAGGTTTTAATTTAAGCAGTTAAACAGAAGTTAGACTTTGTGGGCTTCACAATCATTCCTTGCAAAATGCCTGTGAGGCAGTCTGGCTCATGTTACATCATGCATTTGAGAGTAACTGTACACACTTGGGTTGTGGTTTTCACTTTTTGGTGACCTGTATGCATTACACGTGATAGATGACTGTGTTTTGGGTTTACTCCATATTCAGGAAACCAAGAAGATTGTGGCCCCCATCAGCGACTCTCCCAAACCACCGCCCCAGCGTGTAACTATGACTTTTCCAGTGGTGAACTCGGCACGCTGTGTGGCTTTTGTGTCAACAGGAGGAAGCAAAGCACCCGTTTTAAGGGTAACACTTAGAGACTTTTATTGAACATACACATTTCAAATTCAGAATCTTTAATAAAAGATAATCTGCTATTACCATGACACAATGAATTAGATGAGGTTCAGACACCAAACCAGTTAAATGTGAGACAGAGAGGAAATCGAATAGGAAAGGGAAAATAGGAAATAGAATAGTGCAAAACAAATCATTTGCAGGTAAATTACAGGATTACAAATGTATGCTTCTATTCAATCACAAGTCACTTTAATGACCCACAGGCCTGCAGAAATATGGTTCATACTGGGTTATGTAACATCACTGTAACATATTTTCTTTCAGGAAGTGCTGGAGGGGAGAGAAGGACCAGCTTTGCCAGCAGCTCGTGTTGTCCCGACTAACGGCGAGCTGTTCTGGCTTGTTGATGACCCTGCAGCCGCCTCCTTAACTATCCAGGTAGAGAGGCTAGGCTCAGGGGCCAAACTGTAACGCTTTCCATCTGCCGAATAAAGACAGCAAGTCAACACTGGTGCGAAAACGCGAAGAGACTGGAAAATAGTGCAGTACATTCCTACTTTCACATGAAAGTGCTGTTGATTATTGTAGGCGAAATAGTGAGATATGATATAAGGATGAACTAAAAAACATTGAGGACACCATTATAATTTCCAGCATTACATTTAGCATTTATTAGAGGTTGGTTAGTGTGTGAACATTTTCTTGGCTATAAAGTTGACAAAATTTAATTTTCTTGGTGTATTGGGTCCATTAACATGACATAGTTACCTTATAAATATACTGTAAAATGTAACTATGTTCTTGAATTGCCTTCACACCCATTGTAAAATATCACACCCAGTCACAGTCTGACACTAAACGTGCTTTTTTGTTTTTAGTACTAAATAAAAAAAAATGTTAATAAAACATTTGACTGCTGTGTTCAATGTGCATTGTAGCCCATCCCCTTTAAGACCACAGAACATCCCACCCCTTTAACGGCACAACTTCGCAGTGTTGACACATCAGGAGCTGCTGCACAGATTTGTGCTTTTTCTGTGATGACCGCACAAAGTAGAGAGACGGCTCTTACATAGCACCCACGTAGATTTGTGTGCTATTATTTTATTATTTTTTTCACTTGTTTTTAAATATTGCTTCATTTACCGTGGCAATGCACGGGCTCGCCTGCCTCCCCGCCGCTCTGCTCCTCCTGCTCCTGTCCTGCTGCGGTCCTGCCCGGGCGTATTTTGCGGAGGAGCGCTGGAGCCCCGAGTCTCCGCTCCTCGCTCCCCGGGTTCTCCTCGCCCTCGTCTGCAGGAACTCTGAGCACTCTTTGCCGTATTTCCTCGGTACTATTGAGCGCCTCAATTATCCCAAGGACCGTATGGCCCTGTGGTAAGTTGTTGGAAACCTCAGTATTCTCGCAAGCTTAGCCGCTAAGAAGTTGCTAGCTAAGGTAAAAAAAAAAAAAAAAAGTTTTCTTTTCTTTACTCTAAGGTGTCTAATTAGAAAATGTATAAAAACGGAGCATTGCTGACCGCTGATGATGGGTTTTGGGGAAGGGTAAAAATGGGTTGGACCCGCAGAGAGAGAGAGAGAGAGCCTACTAATAATGCTGAGGATGTAGAAAAAGTTGTCTTGAAGGTTAAAATATCTAACAAATCTCCACAAGCAGGAAACAAAGAAGAACTGACACCGACTCAGAGCAGGAATAAACATAAAGCAGCTTTAGGCGAGCCACTGTTGGTTGGACAGAGGTGAGCACATCTGGTCACTGCTCATCAGGATGGCTATGCATTGATCTGTATACGTGGAGGGGAGGGGACAGGACTCATTTGTCCACGAGGGGAGCTGTATGATTTAACATACAAATCCTAACAAAGAGAAATAGTGTTGTGCGTGTATACCTTTAGGTTACCTCCAGTCCTCATCTCCCCCAGCCCATATACACCTCCTGACAATCCGTTAGGCCTCTGATCAACTAGTGCAGTGACTGACTCCCATACCTGATCATCAGACACATTTTATAGCCCAGAGATCTCCATCTTGTGAAGCTTCAGCCCCAGGGAACCCCCCCTCACTGATGAGTTTTGCTGGCAATGCTATATGGGAAGTGGAAATTGTAGAGCATGCAGTCAGAAGAAAAGCAGCACTTACTATAACAACTACATTCTGTTCAAGGGCATTTTTGTAGAATTTATTGTTATGGATTGTTGAGAAAAACATGACACATGACAGTTTGAGAATGTAGCTTTGTACAGGGGGAAGGGCGACCTTGAATATTCGCTCCAAATGATTATGGAAACTAAAAACCTAGCTGGGTTGGAGCTCACTAAACACACTTTTATGTAGGCCATTTCCAAACCCAGCGCAGTTGCACCCTGTCTGTCATTTGTGACAAACCCAACCTTCCAAGGCAATTATCTAGTGGGAAGTGCAAATGGATGTTATATACCATTTAAACATTTAAACATCAGGCACAAGTTTATGGAAGTGAAAGGGAGGTGTTTTTTTTTCACATAAAAACTAAACAACATGCTCCAACAGACCCTTATGCTTATACCCTCTGAGAGCTCTGAGTGGTGGGCCAGACTGCCTCGAGGCCTCAGAGACATTTGCTCTTCACTCACCAACTCGATAAACAAGTTTCACTTTATTGAGGGGCTTTTTATATAAGTGAGGTTGTTTGATTTCTCTTTATTTTTTGTTTGGTGGTCATGAACCTCTTGTTTGAGGTAAGAGCAGTTTTGTTTTGACATGTTTTGCAAGCACA